TAAATAAATAAGAATAAAAGAAAGGAGTTGGCCAATACAAAGCTTATTCAGATTAACCCCGAAATGGGAAGGTCCTGGCAAAAACCGGTTGCATTCGCACTGCAGTCTAACTGCAGTTATCCTGCGTGTGTGTGGAAGGGGAGAGGGGGGGGGGCAAGGAGTGGGTTGGGGTCTCAGAAGGACCAGGACGAGACGAGTTGAGCCAGACAGCCAGCATATTGCAATTTCGCAAATCAAACAAAAGGCAGCCGCAGAAAAAAACACAACACCGTGGGATGGGGCAAAAGGCGCTCGACCAAAAGGACAATGCACAGGCCGAGGATGGCACAGGATCCAGGATTCGGGATTGAGGACTCAGAAGGCAGGACGCAGGACACAACTCGGCTAATATCCATTGCACATGCAGCGAGTCTTACGCGGAGCAGGAGAATCCGGAGTTTGGGGGCTTTAAACTTTTTTCATGACTCTTGTTTCGGCAGTTTGTTTGCCCAGCAAATGCATCCAATGCAATTTTTCGGGCCGCAATGTAGACGCAAGTCCTTGCTGCAATCAACTTTGCCAGGATACCAGGAACCAGGAGTGAGATATGGAGCAGCAGCGATGGTTAAGCGGACGTTTCGCAAGTCAATCAGTCCACAAAAAAACAAAAAAAAAGCAACTGAAAAACAAAAAAGTCCCAAGCCGGCTAAAGTCCTTATTATCCTTGCATGTTGCCGGAGAAAAAAAATGCAATATCGAATGCATTTGGAGCTGCAGCCACGCCCCCTAGCCGCCCACCTCCCGCTATCAACTAAACGCACTGCAGCCGCAAAGAAATTGCGAAAATGAAAGCAACAAAAAAAAAGAAAAATTGGGAAATGGGAAGCGCGCGAGAGAGAGATTTTCAATTAAAAGGAATTGCTGCTCTATGTGGATTTTTGTGCTTATTAGCCTGCCTATCCGGCCTTCACCCCCGGAAAACCCCTTCTTCAGCCAGCCTAAAACCACTCGAAAGCCGTGCACATTTGGTAATCAATTTCTGTTGTTGCTGCCGTTGTTGTTTGGCGGCTGACTGACAATCTTCGCTAATAAGCTGCCCCCCAGGCGCCTCCTACATAGGCTACATGCACACTGAAAAGAAAACTAGGTGGAAAACTAGCTTCAAAGAAACGAAAGATCTTAACTTAAAGGTCTGAATTTATTTAATTTTCATAATTTATTTATGAGAACACAAAATATATCAATTAATTAATACAAGAAAAGGTATAATAACATATTATTGTATTAAAATATTCCACTTTAATATATTTTCTGATTATTTTAGTTTGAAAATCATTGGCCAACCCCTTCTTAACCTCGTCCTTTGTTTGAAATATTTTTCTATTTTTATAAATGTATTTTTCTTTGTGCACCCACATGGAGCACAGATGAGATGATGCACTTGCATTATGCAGATTTCAGATTTCTGAATTGCGCCGCCGAAATGCATTCAGTGCCAGCCTCTTTTTCTGAGCCTCTGCTGTTGCCTGTTGTTGCTGCCGCTTTTCAATTAGGCCAATCCAAGCCAAGCCAAGCCATCGCAGTTCTGGTTAGAGGCAAGGGATTAGTTCCATCATTATCTATTCCGCATGCGGGCAGAAGTGTCGCATTCCGAGGAGTTGGGGGGCAAACTGCCGCATGGGCAAAATATTATTGACAATTCTTCGGGCCGGCGACTGAACAATGCAATGGTGGAATGCAAATCCTTCAGTCAGCTAATATTGTTTGTTCCTAAGCAGTCTACCGCCCCGTTCCCGGGAAGGAACAAAGCCGAAAACTATGCAAAAATATAACAAAAAGCGAGAAAACACAGAGTGGATCGGCGAGACCAAATCGAAAGGAAAACTCTTTGACAATGGCAGGTAGACCTTCCTCTGAGGGTCGGTATTGGATGAATGAATGGATGAATGAACTATCTAACTGCGATGCAAAGTAAGTGCAAAGGATTTTTGTCCACGACCAAAGGGCTGAAGTGGCCGACGACGAGGAATGATTGAGGAAAATCAAAGCCAGAAAAACTGTGAGAAAATCAGCCGTTTTCTTGATGAAAATCGGAGATTTTAACCCCGTCCCTTGACAGCTGAAAATTGTGATTCTTCTTTTATTGTCTGGGATATATATGCATTCCATTTCCCTCATTTGGCTGGCCATTGTTTGGTCCTTTGATCGGAGGTTGAATTTGACACTTTCCAAGAAGGCATTGTTTGAACGGGTTAATTTGTGTATTTAGCCGAGAGCCAGCTGTTATTGAATATCGACAGTGAACAGCAAAATGTAAACCCAATTAAAGACCTAAGTCGCCGCACACATTTTGCGGCACGTTCGTCCTTCATTTTGCACCTTTCGCGATGCGGCAAGAAGGACGCAAAAATGCAGATCACGGCCCAAGGAGTCATCGCTCCTGCAAACTCAGTCGTAATCGATATGCACCCGCATTTGTGTGTCAAGATGCTGCCCTTTTCTGCCAGATCTCCAGATCCCGATCCCGAGTCCATAACTCATCGGGGCAATGTGCAAAAGTGGCTGTATCGCATATCCTGTGGCTGCTTTGTCTGCCGGAGATCCCTTTGTCCGACGCCGAAGTCAGCTGCAGTTGCAATCTGTTTTTTCCGCATTCAGCACGATCAAATATTGCCGAAGAAAGAACTATCTCTTTATAGATATAGCATCCCGATCAGGTGGCGCGTGTCCGCTGGTGGCCAACTGTGATTTGTCGGTCGGAATCGCATTATGTTCATCTGTTTTTGGGGCGTCAGCTGGTGTGCGTGCCACGTGTATCTGGCAGTTACTTTGGCCAAAAGGCGGCTGCCTTATCGACTGCATGCCGAATTACCCGCCTCCTCATTAACATGTCACTTTGGCCTACTTGTCTTGGCTTCTTTGGCTCATCTAAATGCAAATTCCCCTACCCAAGTTCCCCAACACTTTCAATTACGAATCTCAAAGTCAAAAGAATAATGTTGATTTGCAACTGCCAAGCTAAGAGGGCACTGAGACAAAAATGGTTTACTTTTAAGAACTGTTAAAATATGTAAAAGTGGTTTAATCTCTTACATTTCAACTTTTACTTAAAAATACATTTATTCTAGCCTTCAAAAGAGATGCACTTTGAATGGCAGCGGAGAGTTCTAGAAGTTAGGGTTAATTTTTTCCAAGTGGATGGCCAAAAGCTTTTTAATTAAGGCCTGCCTTCAAGGAGGGGACCTCGGATACGAATCGGGAATCGAGGAGAAATCACAGAAAACTGTTATTATAATCATCGTCTACGTCTGCAATCGGACCATCCCGACCCAACCCAACCACCCCTTCTTGTCGCCTACTTTGTCATTATAATTTTTCCTTTCAGCCGGCCAAAGCGATGCCAAATGAAAGAAATTTTTGCGGGCCAAAAGAAATGCATTTTATTATTATTATTTGTTGTGGTGACTTTTTAATCATTCCCTACCAAACAAAGCGGTCGAACCGAACGGGCGGTGTGGGGGGTTGTGATAGGCAGGGGCAGGGGGGTTGTTGTTCAAGAAGTGGAACCACTGGCCGATTCTTATTGGTGCACCAACACCGCACGGACAGCTCAGACAGATATGGCCATCGGCTACTCCCACACCGATGACGACGGCCCAGCTGATGACGACGAATGGGGAAGTCTCGAGAGAACGACAACCACCACCGCCACAAGAAAACCCACACCAATGGAGAAACTTTAACGAAGACGATTACGAATACGAAGACCACTACAAAGCCCAATTCGCCGCAAAGACGAAGAGCACGAAGTACAATAGCCGAAGACAAAGTGCCTCCCCTTCGCAGCCGTGACGTCACACCTCAAGAAACGCTCAAGGAAACGACCTTCAGAGCAGCCAGCGGCGAATGAGTGGGTAATGGGCGAAGTGACGAAGTGTGAGCGAAGGAAGAGCAGGTAATGGAGGAAGAGCAGTGAGCGTAAGAAGAGCACCAGAAGACGCTCTTCCGAACTCTCTTACTCTCGCTCTCGCACTCTCAGCAGCCCGTCTCAGACGTTCAAGACCTGTCTTCAGATACTTCGCTCAATGCGTTTCATTTCTACGTCGCGCCTTGTATCTGAAAGTTCGCTCTCGCTCAACGGATACGAATCCATACAATACCATACATCTGTGGACTGGATTAACGCTAATTCGTTTTTGATTGCCGCCAGGGGGGATCGCCAATGGTCGAGTGCGTAAGTAAAGAGTGTAATTAACCAAGCACGCGGTTGGAACCTCAGTCTCAGCGCTTCGTAACCACGGTTAGATAAGCCAGATCATATCCCTCGGGGACCCAGAAGCCTTATCGTGCATCTTTAAGGGGGGCGTTCTTTGGTTCTCAATATAAGAGGCGTTTTATTAAGGTCAGCTAATGGATCAACTGTATGTATATCATCGCTTTGTGTAGTAAGTGTGTTAACGAACGAGTGGCAGACATGGGGCGCCTGGTGAAGTTCCCCAAAGTCTCCGATGACTCAGTGTGCAGGCGCGGATAAACATCGGTTGAGGAAAGAACAAAAAGAACAAAAACCAGAGAACCAGAATCAAAATAGAAGAACCAGAAGGAGAGGCGATCGGAAAAAACAAGCCAAAGATCCCATGGGCAGAGAAAAAAATAAAAAAAAAACAAAGGGGAAAACGAGATGGGAGACGACCCGCACATGTTGACATGTGTTGGTATCTTGTGAAAATCGAGAGGGGGGCGGTGGAAAGTGGGGGTAACCCTAGGTGGGGTACATTGAACTTGGGTGGCGAAAGGGGAGCGATTAAAAACCCAACCAAGAGATCACAGATCTCACTAGTTCCCAGAATTAAAACCAAGCCAAGCCAAGTACTTGCTGTTGCAGTTGTTGTTATGGCGAATTTCCACAGATCTCTCGGGTTGTTATTGCGAAAAAAAAGAAAGAAGAAGATAGAGAATGAGCAAAATAAGAAGAGCAGGCAAAAATAATAAATACAAAGACCCAAAAGTGGCAGCTGCAATTCAAATATTTCACAAAAACTCAAACACACACATATTGAAATAAAGAGAGAGGGATACACACACTTAGGCAGGCAAAGGAGCTGAAAAAGGAAGCGAAGAGCTAGACGAAAAGGAGACGAGACAAAAGGCAAAGCAGGGATGACGAGAAAAGGTTGCAAGCAAAACAAGTCAGCAGGATCAAGGACACGCAGGCACTCACATACACTCACAAAGGAGCAGGCAGAGAAAACCTGAAATCGTTACTCGAACCCAAAGCCAAAGAGAGAAATGCAAGCGAACGAGCGGGCCAAAAGAAAAGGCAGATTAAGGACCCGTTCCTTTGTAATATTTTTTTTTACAATACATCCATAGGTAGGTAAAACCCATTAGGGTAGTTCCCTCCTAGGTAACCCAGTGTGCGTATAGAGGTACAGATCGGCAGGACATGCAAAAAAAAAAAATAGAAAGAACAGAATTGAAAGAGAACCGAAGAAAATACTTTATGACAAAGGGAAAGATTAGTTTTTCAGGTCGATTGAAAATCTGTTGTTAGGGGATAGAGTAAATTACTTAATGCACAGTGGTGCAAGATCTATAAAATTGTTGGGCAATTTGTCAACTACTCAGAATAAAATCGGAATCTCCAGCTACAACTTTACTTATGACTGTTGCATGTGTTTTTTTTTTTTATTTGATAAGTTTCTTTCTAAAAGTATAAAGAAATTTTTGAAGAAATATGTGAAATTTTTGAGCGATAAGAGAAACATGTATAAATAATTTAGTCATAATTCACTGCTTGCTTTAATCTAATTTCTTGGACTTGTCAATACAAATTTTATTAAATGAAAACTAAATTCAACTAAAAGTTTATATTTGAATAGAGATGAATGATCAAAGTTTTAAAATAATTATTTTTATATCCATTTAATGAAGTCCCTATTAAGACCCAAAATTGAGTGCAACCTCTAATCGAATCATTCCCTTCTTCACCCAACAGAGGGCAGCTGCTACTCCTGGCTGACGAAGGAAACCAAACACCACCAGCTGGGCTATATCCTCACTAGTCGCAAACAAGAACAACAGGGGCACACGATCGCAGCGGAGGATCACAAAGGACTCGTGCCACATGAACCAGGGGGTTGGTGATAGCGCCTCCTGAAAGAAATACCGACTCATGCTCAAACAGTCGAGTGTCGAGACAAAGTGATCCTGCCGCAAGGAGCAGGACGAGCCGCTTATCAGCCATGCATGGAAATCGGGGTGGCTGAGGGTTGCAAACGCGCGTTCTTATCTTAAAGCTCCGACCTCCCGACAGGAGGGTGACGAAATAGAGCAGATGTGCAAACAACGGCACCGATGACTGATGACTGACGAGAACCAGGCACTGCGACTTGAGGGGCGGCAATAAATTCCATCCAACGACGCGTGCTCGACACACTTCCAGATCCTGAGCAATCCGGAGCAACTCTCGCCTGGGCACTCAGACTCGGGTTCAGATTGGAAGCCACAAAATTTCTAGTATTACAATGTCCGTGGACAACAGCTTGGGAATCCTAGACTTCACTTTGGCTAAGGAGAGTGAAAAGACAGCAATGACAGCGGCAAACGTATACAAAACGTCAGACAAGGAGAACGACCCGGATCCCCACTTAACGGGCACAATTGTCACCACCGGCGCCACTGCCCAGCCAGCCACGCCTACTGCCGCCCAACCGGCCACGCCCACTCCACCAGCTGGCCAGGATGTGGGCGATGGAGCCGCCAGTAGTACCAACACGGAACTCAAGTTCCAGTCCTACGTAAATGGCAACGGCAATGGGGTGTACAAGATCATCAAGACCCTGGGCAAGGGCAACTTTGCCAAGGTCAAGCTGGCGATCCATGTGCCCACCGGTCGGGAGGTGGCCATCAAGGTGATTGACAAGACCCAACTAAACACGAGTGCCCGGCAGAAACTCTACCGCGAGGTGAAGATCATGAAGCTGCTGAACCATCCGAATATCGTGCGCCTCTTCCAGGTGATCGAATCGGAGAGGACGCTCTACCTCGTGATGGAGTACGCCAGTCGGGGCGAGCTATTCGATCACCTGGTGAAGAACGGAAGGATGCGGGAGCGGGATGCCCGGGTGATCTTCCGCCAGTTGGTGTCCGCCATTCAGTATTGCCACAGCAAGTTTGTGGTTCATCGCGACCTCAAAGCGGAGAACCTGTTGCTCGATCAGCACATGAACATCAAGATAGCCGACTTTGGTTTCGGCAACACCTTCGATCCGAATGCCCAACTGGAGACGTTCTGCGGGAGTCCTCCGTATGCGGCACCTGAACTCTTTATGGGCAGGAAGTACGCGGGACCGGAAGTGGACGCCTGGTCACTGGGAGTGGTGCTCTATACCCTGGTCAGTGGTTCGCTACCCTTTGATGGCGGCACCTTGAAGGAGTTGCGGGAACGAGTCCTGCGCGGCAAGTACCGAGTGCCCTACTACATCTCCATGGACTGCGAGAACCTGATGAGGAAGTTTCTGGTCCTGAATCCCGCCAAGCGCACTTCGCTCTCGGCTGTCATGTCGGATAAGTGGATAAATCTGGGTCACGAGGAGGCCGATAGATTGCGACCCTTTCGGGAGAAGCCCATGGAGCTGCAGGATGCCGCTCGGTTTGACTTGCTGATGAGCATGGGCCACAAGCGTCGCGATGTGGAGCAGTCGGTGAAGGGACAGCAGTTCGACGACATCTACTGCACCTACATGCTCCTCGGAGTGGCCAAGCCGCGCTCCTCGAACCGCAGCGCTAAGCAGGAGGTTGTGGCCACAGTGGATCTAACTGTTCCATCGGTCAGCAGTCCGCTGCCCAACATCACCACGCCCACTGTGACCATAGCTCAGGTAACGCTGGCGATGGACAAGAATCCGCCCACTTCCTCCGTTTCAAGTCGTCCCATAGCTCCTCGTCTGGCGAATGTTCCCAATACGCCCACTTCGACGCCGCCTACGGGACCGCCAGCCAAGCCCACGCGACGCACGCCAGGAAGGACACCAGGATCACGCAAGATCACCGGTAGTTCGAGCAGCCAAGGACCCTCTAGCCTCCCGCACACTCCGCAATCCAAGCGAGCTAGCGCCAATATGGATGTGAAGCCCACGCTGCTGAGTGCCCAGCGACAGTTGGCCCAGACCCAAAAGATGGCCAGCACCCCGCCCCGCTTCCAGTACCCCGGTTCGGGTTCGCAGACTCCTCAGCAAGCCCAGGGATCCGCCAGAAGACCAACGACGCTCTACGAGAAGGCGGAGCCGGCAGTCACGCCCCTTTTGGCTCCGAAGTCACCTGCCATCGGCGGACGACTGTTGGAACGGATCCCCGGAGCAGGAGCGGCAGTGGGAGCGGTGGAGAAAACCTCGGACAAACCCTTCACCCGACACAATGTGGCGCGGGCCACCTTTCATTTCGGCCAGGCGCGCAGTGGAAAACGGGGAGGTGGATCAGGAGGAGGTGCTGGCGCCGAGGAGGACAACTACCAGACGCCACCCCTATCCGCTGATGACACCAAACCCGCCTCACGAGTGGGCTTCTTCTCCAAGCTGACCGCACGCTTTGGTCGCCGGGTGATCCACCTGAACGAGAAGGATGTCACCGAGCAGCGCAAGAACCTCACCAAATAGCCAGGTGTCCGGCGGATTGGGACATCCCTAGGGAGCGAGAGTGAGAGGAAGTTTGAGTGATACAGCAAGTGATACAGCAGGCCCTGCCCGAATGTTCAATCAAAACCCCAGTCTATTTGGGAGTTGTAGTAATCAGTTTGCCTTTCAAGTGTGCGGCGAACGTATAGCTGGGATTTGGAAAATAAGTAGCCCCACCAGAAATGACAGCAGCAAACACAGGCAAAACGTCCGACAAGGAGAACGACCCAAAGTCATCAACCACGGCCGCTTCCACAGCAGCTGGCCAGGATGGGGGCAGCTCGCCCACACCCCAGTTCCAATCCTATGTGAATGGCAACGGCAGTGGGGTGTACAAGATCATCAAGACCCTGGGCAAGGGCAACTTTGCCAAGGTCAAGCTGGCGATTCATATGCCCACCGGTCGGGAGGTGGCCATCAAGGTGATCGACAAGACAACGCTGAATGCCAGTGCCCGGCAGAAACTGTATCGCGAGGTGAAGATAATGAAGCTGCTGAACCATCCGAATATCGTACGCCTCTTCCAGGTCATCGAATCGGAGAGGACGCTCTACCTGGTGATGGAGTACGCCAGTCGGGGCGAGCTATTCGATCACCTGGTGAAGAACGGAAGGATGCGGGAGCGGGATGCCCGGGTGATCTTCCGCCAGTTGGTGTCCGCCATTCAGTATTGCCATGGGAAGTCCGTTGTGCATCGCGATCTCAAGGCGGAGAACCTGTTGCTGGACCAGCACATGAACATCAAGATAGCGGACTTTGGCTTTGGCAACACCTTCGAACCCAATGTCCAACTGGAGACCTTCTGCGGAAGTCCACCCTATGCCGCCCCTGAACTCTTTCGGGGCATGAAATACGCTGGACCTGAGGTGGACTCGTGGTCACTGGGAGTGGTGCTCTACACCCTGGTCAGCGGATCCCTGCCTTTCGATGGCGGCAATCTGAAGGAGCTACGCGATCGGGTTCTGCGTGGCAAATACCGCGTTCCCTACTACATTACGTTAGATTGCGAGAACCTGATTCGGAAATTCCTGGTGCTGAATCCCGCCAAGCGAACTACTTTATCGGCTGTCATGTCCGACAAGTGGATTAATCTGGGTCACGAGGATGGCGACAGACTGAGGCCGTTTCAGGAGAAGCCCACGAATCTGCAGGACTTCAACCGATTGCATTTGCTGGTGAGCATGGGCCACAAGCTTCGTGATGTAGAGCAGTCGCTGAAGGGACAGCAGTTTGACGACATTTATTGCACCTATATGCTCCTGGAATTGGCCAAGCCGCGCTCCTCGAACCCCAAAGCAGTGGCTTCTATGGGCGATTTACCGACTTCTTTCAGTCGAATTCCTGTACCCACCACTTCGCCCAATGTTACAGTTACTCAAGTAACCTTCGCTCTGGACAAGAGTACCCCCATTCACTCTGCCTCGGGTTCGAGTCGTCCCATAGCTCCTCGTTTGGCCAACGTCCTCGTTACGCCCACTTCGACGCCTCCCTCGGAGCCGCCTTCCAAATTTATACGCCGCACAGCTCCCAGGCGATCTGAGCCCTCGAGTCATCCACCAACCGCACTGCCCAAGAGAGGAGCCAGTGCCTCCGTGGATGTCAAGCCAACGCTGCTAAGTGCCCAGCGTAAGTTGGCTCAAACCCAGAAGCTGGCCAGTCCATCCCTCCGCTATCAGTATCCCGGTGTCCAGTCTCCCAGCCAAACTCGGGGATCTAGGCCACCACCAGGATCAACGACTCACTACGGAAAGGCAGAGCCACCAGCCACGCCCCTAATGGTGCTCAAGTCGCCGTCAAACTTCCAGACCCCACCACCATCCCCATCTCCATCCCCAGATGTCATTAAACGCACCTCGCGAGTGGGATTCTTCTCCAAGTTGTCCGCCCGCTTCGGTCGAAGGACGATCCACCAGGACGGAAAGCTCCTGGACACCACCGATCATCGCATGAATAATTATAACCGCAAGTGATACAGCAGACCCTGGCCCAAAACGGACGATTGACCTTGTGTCTAGTTGGTATTTTTAATGAAAACGACTAAAATTTAGTATTACAAATAAATGTTGATTTAATGCATACGAAATGTGTAACGAGCTGAGGTGATCGTTCTGAACTGATCTTGAAACTTGACTGTCGAACTCATTAAAATAAATTTAGACGATCGCTTTATCATTTTTAGTACTTAGGTTTTATATATTAGACTAAAATATGCCAATAAATTTTAATTAGTATAAATGAAATGAAATGAAGGTATTTATATTTTATTCACGTAAAGCTGTTAGGAATGATCACCGAGAAAAAAAGGAACTTTGGCCAATTGGCTGGAACATTAAAAGGGTTCACACAAAACGGCAGCCACAATTTTAGATTGCGTGTCGCTTTGACATTAAATGGATTTGGAAGGGGGTTGGAAATGGAGAAACCTAGGGGTAGAGGTCCCTGTGAGCAACACGAAACCGCAATCATTTTGCACTTTTCGAGGCAACCAACTAAACAGGTTAGTTCGAGGGGTTGGGGGTGGTAATTCGAAGGCGTCGAGCGGCGGAAGGAAAAGGCGTTCACAGCCGAACATAACAATATCCGGAAAGAAACCAATAAACGGGAAATTCCGCCGAAGGGCCGCCGACTAACTATATCCATTTTGGTGGGAACCGAGTTGGAAAAAGGATGCCTGCAGGGGTGGGTTACCTTTACCTGGCCGAAAAGGGGTGGTTTAGGACTGATTGGACTTGGACCCATTGGGAGCGGAAGCGGAGCGTTAAATTCGTTAACTGGCGGAAGAAGGTGACGGCGGAAAACAAGTAACAGGTCGCACATAAACTAGACTCCCGGCTAGTGCATTAATGTGCAAGCGCCCACTCCTGGAAAATTTCTCCCACAATACACTCGCAATTAGCCCCCTTCCACTCTGGCCGACTGATAAGATTGGGCCCATTCCCAAAGCCAAAAACCGAAATGCAAACAGAAATACCCGCGGTCTATTTGCATGGGACTAGAACGGAGCAGAGCTTCGATTGTTTGCTTTAAGGGTAAACCGCACTCGCATTTATAGATATGGATAGAGATATATGCATATATAGATGGTGCTGATAAATCGAAATAGTACTTGAAGCAAATAAAAGTGCCTATGCAAACAGGTCGAGTCAATAATTTAACTAAAAGCGCGCGCCATCGATTAGATACAGACGGGCGACAGTCGAGGTTTATCAAGGACTGTTTATCTGATAAGATAGCCCATCCGCACACTCACACACACAGGCTTAGATCCCATTTAAAGCGGCCGGAAAGTATGCAGCAAAAGTTTCGCCCGGAAGTGCCAATAAGAATGCCATCCAGGACTAATCAGCAACGTCTCGCAGAACAAAGATCCCGGCTAATTTGCGGCAAAACATCTCGTAACGAGCATGTAAACGAAAGTTGAACTGTAACTGCAGTTAAACACTTTTATCCAGTGGGCTGGGTGCCAAATTGGCCAAGTGTAAGCCAAGGCTCTTGACATCTAATTGAGGGTGGATTCGTCTTCGTTTTCTTGGGGGGACCTTGGACCGCCTTCAAGTGTCTGCCGGCAACGCCTTGAGTGTGACTTGGGTCCGGGGTTCTGAGTCCTGAATCCTGAATCCTGAATCCTGTTCCACTGCCACCCACAATTATGTCAATAGCCAAGTTTTCAGGGCCAGCCGAGATTTGGTAGTGACAAAAGGTTCGCCCCCTGCCATTCCCCCTGAGCGGCCTGTATTGTTTACCCTGGGTAAATATTTTACGGCCCAAGAAGTGCCACAAGAAACTGTTACCGAGTCCTGGGCAAAGGAGCTTAACCTGCTGAAATGTCAAGTGGGACCGTCGCTTCTTTTGATTTTTCACATTTTTCTTTCGCCTGCCTTTTTGCGGTCGCTTAAGAAACATTTTCCAGGCTTTTCATCTTTTTTCGTTTTCTTTACCATTGTTCTCTTCGCGCTTGCCAATTAGTCCTATGCGATTTCGAATGTCCTTTTCGTGGCCCCCAACACTCAAGGATTTTTTAGCTTCTTATGCCGGCAACCCTTAATTAATGGCTCGCTTATTTCTCAACCTCGGCTTTCTCAACCCAAGCTTAGTTGGCCAACTATTTTGTCTCATTTTCCGCCTGACTTAAGCGCTTAATAGTTTTCAGTTTTTATGTGCCATAGTTTCATAGTATCCCTGCTCCTGCGATCCTTATTGCTGTGTCTTCTTTGGCTATCACTTTTCTTGCTCAAGTCGAAACTTTTTCTTATTGGAAAGGGTTCGGAACTTTGCTTGTGTGGTCGCCCGGTAGTTAATCAATTTTTTGTCCTTTTTTCCCATGGATTGTGTAAAAAGTTTAGTCTACAAGTATGTTTTCCCAAGGGGGCGGGGGAGACAAGTCTTTTTGTGGTCGGGTGCAAGGGAAAACTTTTAATTAAGAAAACCTTGAAGTGATTTATTGATTAGAACTCGGCCTGGTCAAACTTTCTGTGGTCGCAGACGACGACGACGACGTCCCTCTCAACCTTCCGACATTCCTTTAGCTGGAGGAGGTTCTTCTTCCATCTATCCCTCCCCGAAGACAACCAATGAGACGCTTTCTACCGTTTTTTATGAGAGATAATTGAGCCGGTGTAGGGGGCTTCACTTCCCCTACTAAATCAAGTAAGCTCAACAAATGCGAAGCGCGGCGAAATCAATTCTCCGTCTCATTCTCGCTGTGGAAAATAGAAAAATACCGATTCGCTGCTTACGGAAGCGCAAAGAAATACACCCACTTCCCCTGCCCCTTCTCAAACAACCAAACCATACCAATCCAAACTTACATTCAGTCTGCTCAACTGGCAGAACGAAACTTTGGACCCAGCCCACGGAAACTTTGGGCATTATTATTACTGGCCAATACGCAGTAAGAAATAAAGTCGAGGAAACAACAAACAAAATGGTGAGCACTTCCGCCCGTCCCGAAAGTAATTACCAAAAGTCGGTAGTTGGGAGCGAGGCTTCAACTTGGTCTGTGCCGCACATTTCACGCCCCCGCCCCTTGAAAAGCGGTCATTGTTTTAATTGTAAACAATATGAAGATAATCAGAGGCCCGAAATCAGTGCGTGGCGGGGGAGAAACTGCAGCTCAGGTGGCCGAGTTCTTGGTGACACATGCCCGTCCACCTCCACGACTGCCGACTCACCCACTCCACCTTCGAAAAATAAAAAGCCAACAGCGGAAGTGTCGCCCTGACTGTGGGCACAACAAAAAAGCGGAACTACTCTTGAAAGATTTGCGTTGGACAGGCGGGCACCTTCACCTGGCTGCCTGGCTGGCTGGATGGCTGGGCTGCTCTGTCTGCGGCTTTTCATCGCACCCGGCAACTTTCGCGGGCTGAGGCTGTCATGAGTTGCTGGCCCTCGCATATTATTAACGTTTTAATACGTATTTGTGCTGCCTCTCCCCTGCTTTCTGCCACTTTGGTGCGTGCTGCCTGGCCGGGGGAAAACGGTAATGGTAATGGAAATGGAAGAGGAAAGGGGGTAGGGGTTGGTGGACAGAGGGTGCGCCTCGACCACTTGTTGTCGGCCGGAGCACGTGGGAAAGTGGAAAGCGGCTATCGATGCGAGTGGGACCATTGAGCTTCCGCCTTAATCAAAATAAGTTGATTTTCCAAAATTAAAATAAACCTAGGAAAATAAGTTACACAAAAGGAGTAAAAAGGCTAAGAAGTATTTTGTAGCCCTTTATACAAAATAATAAAATAAAGGCAATCTTGAGTATTTTATAAGCATTAACTTAAGAGATATGAAAACAATTATTTTATTAATAAATTGAAAATAAATTAGACCAAGTCATATAATGAAATAATATAAAATCAAGTTAGTTATAGTTAAGTATGGATAGCTTAGAGCCTTGGCATGACCAGTGCAGTGCAGTAGAGCGATCCAGATAGCGCCGAATAAAGCTAGATCCGACTAGAGCCCAGTGCAGTGGGGTGGGATATATGGGATGCTTGAATGATTTCGCCATATGAGACGCGACACCAGCCCAAATCGACTCAGATCGCCTCACGCCAAGTGCTCGTGCATCCGGTCTAGTTTTGGGGGTTGGGCTGAGGCTTGATTCGCCTGCTAGTTTATGTAAGTCTATGGGCGAACGGGTGTCTGTGTGTGCGCTCCTCTCTAGATACTAAATACTAGATACTCGAACTAGATGGCATCGTACGCGAACAGATGCTCTCGTACTCGCACTTGTCGTCGTGCTCGAACTCATGCATGGCGCGCACCAAATACGAAATAAATTACACTTGATTATCTTGTTGCTCGCCTGGCTGCTGCTCAACCGCTGCTGATCTGTTGCAATAGTTTGTCCATGTCCGAAATAGGCGAATGAAAAACAAGAAAGATCAAGTGTCCCCAGCACTACGATGGTTGGATGCCCTCAGTTTTAATAACCAATATCTTCTAGGATCAGCATTTGATTGGTTTTGAAGAATAAATTGTTGATTTTAATTTAGAATAATTTATTTGTTTTGTGAAATAAATTTTTAACTTGTAAAAATTGGAAAAAATAATTTAATGTAATTAGTAAAATTTATTATTATTTCTAGACTAACTTTAACTATCGAACTCTGATAAGAAATACACTAATTGCTTTTATGAACTTATCTTATCTAGTGTTTAGTTCTGTTGAATTAAATATATGTGTTGTTATTTATGGTTTATCGTTATATATTTTCCACAGGAATGTAGTTGCGTAATTTATTATGAGCCAAGAGACCTCTAGATTTTTTCTACATATTATTTTTTACCCTGATTTACCTGTAGACTTACCCCTTTAGAAAATAGAGTATCACAGACGGACGGACCCTGGACATGTGTTGATATTCTACAAGTCATTTGCTGACTTAATTTCCAGCGCTTGAAACGGAATAGAACGGAACCGGGCAGACTGCTGTAGTTTCCAGTGGGCGGGAGGTGATCAGGGGGTGGTCAGTGTTCGGTGGGTGGTGGGGGTCATTTCGACAAGAGCCGCGACATTTGCTCAGCGAGGCGTGCAACTTTGGCCGCCGCTCAAGTGAGCTCTGCCATTGGCCGGCGCAAGT